TCTCTTCCCGCGTGTACTTTCCTCCATTGCGAAATATTTTCTTCAGTTGCTTGTGACATTAATCAACCAGTACTGGTCTGATTTCTTTTTTATTTTTGCTATTTCTCAGTAACACAATTTCTATTTTTGAAATTATTCAACTAGGGCTGTGTACATGCGCAGTATACTCTTGATCTTGCTGCGAAAATTATGCGTTGTCTCGGGTATTCGATTTAAATTTTGAATTTGAGGAAAGTGCTCTGAGTGACCGTTTCTCCCGATCGCTTCCTTCGTTCCCTGCTTTAAGCTGATCCCGCTTTTCAGCCACTCTTATCAGTCTTAACTCTTTGCGGTCCTGTATGACGTCTAAACAATCTCGGAAACTCGAAAAAATACATTGCATCACTCGAGATAACGGTAATTTCAAAATTTTTATACGAGTAAATTACAAGATACATGATTCATTTGATTTGCAAAGAATCCGGACGCGAAAATGATATCTCTTTTTTTCTCGTTTATAATTATCCGCACATCAGCGGTTCAGATTGCAAAGAGCGAAGCTTCTGTCACTGTTTCTCATGCTCAACATCATATTTCCTGTCGAGAATCAGTCTCTTGAGTTATCGTAAAGTAACACGACCATTGCTCTGTACCACCCTCTCCGATTACGTCCTCGCCACGTCCTGGCACGCAGTACTACGTTCTTTTGTGCGATTCTAACAGGCGCCGGATATGGAGCTTCGAGTGTTCCTGCTGCACCAGGAACCAACGACAACTATGGCGGTGGGCCCCAAAGGGGTTACACGGGATCTGCGTCCAGCTCTAATTACCATCCTTATCGTCGCTAAAAGGATAGAACGAAGTCATTCTTCGATCATGTATTCGAGGACTCCCTTTGTTTCTTTGACGCATATGTGTATATATATATATATACACACACACACAACACATATAACACACATACATATTACAATACACATGGTGGTAGGGCACGTTCAATTTGCGTACTTTAAATCTACGTGGGAAAGTTTCGCGAAAAATCAGCTGATTCAAAACTTCGTGGGACAAGCGAGAAACTGCGAGGACGTGCGAACTGTCTGCGAGGATGGAACATGAGATGAGACTGTGAGTTGCGGGACACTTGCTCGACGTCGTCTACGGCAGATTTCCCTCCATTTCGCGAAAGAGCACGCATGTTGGCGTGAAGAAAAATTACGCAACTACAACGCATCTACCTTTGCGGAAGGGCAGTTGGGGCGTTTTTGTGTTTGTCGAGCAGTTATGACTGGAGCCAGGAAGTTACGTCAAATAAATTTGAGCTTTATGTACGACACTTCATTGATTGGTGCCACTTGTAAAGTCGCGCGCCGCTTGTATCGCGCCGCTTTACAGCAGAGTCAATTGTAGTTGAAATCGTTTTTATAGCGTTTGACTTTCCACAAGGAAATTTTGGAAACACTGTTACTTCTAATGCATACCAAATTTGCATTTATATATGGAAATTACTTGAAGTAATAATAATATATTTTACAGTATGTAAAGTGACGATGTTAATATTATTCTTACGCGAGTACGACAAAACATTAAGATGTTTTTGATGAGAATTCGACATCTGATATCTGAATTGAGGCTTCCGCTTCTCATTACAGTCATACTAAATTATGCGAATACTAAATAAGGCGAATTCAAAGCGAGAAATCGTGTTTTTCTTCTGCACTATCGAAATAAATTGGAAATAAGTTAATTCGCATATATCGTCAAAAGACCATCGCGTTTAATCTCGATAATCAGCTGCCGTCGTTTGTTCGTTTTTCCTTCAACACAAATATAAATAGAATTTATTAATACAGGATAATTAAGAGACAGGATCTTTCGATATATTTCAATTTATTAATCACATGCATATGAACGCAGCTAAGGAATTAAAATTGATTTTGATGGCTGTAATGTACATTTCTAAAGAAGGAGGAAAAATCCGCATGATTTCTCGCTCTGTTGACATCATTCGTATGACTATAATCAGGAGTCAGGATCCTCAGGATATCTTAGACCGTATTACGCATCTGTATTGAGAAACAAGTTGTGAGAACAACTCAATCAATGATGTGTCATCAATGACTTTTTCACGATTAAAACATACGGGATTACGTTACATAGTAACATTCGTATAAAGCAGATGCAGATATGCAGATAATAGCATGATTATTTTGTCGATTATCTTGTTCTTCGCGATTTCAAAGTTCGCGTATTCGTATGTTCGCGTGTCTGGATTGAAAGCATTGTGTCGGCTCAACATCCAATTTTAAGCGGTTGTAAGCGAGGCAAGTTAAACGACGAATTCACTCGTTGACGGGACTCGAGATTATAATCCAGATCGAGCGTACACGGTATTAGACCGCGAGCAAAAATGGCGATTAGCATAAGCGGGCTTAGTTATAGTCTCAATCGATAAGTATCGTAGAGCAATAAGGAATCAATTGATGAAATATAATGATTGTGTTTATGGTAGCGAAGACACAGCAATGTTAATGCGCAAGAAAATACATTTTATTTACGCATCGTACACATATACTTTCTGAAATTCCCGAGAAAGTTCATTAACACGACAGCGTACGCTTCCTTTGTATTTTCGAGTCCTCTTATTTCCGATTCGAAGGCGATCCGATTGCTGTTTCTTTCTTCGTTCTCCATCATTTTCTCCGCTCCCCCGTCCCCTCCCCCAAATCGTTGCGCGCGCGACGACGCGCGTTAAGAGAAAGAGTTGGAAAGAGAATGAACGAATATAATATTTTCTTTTCTTTTTTTTTTCGGTTTCTGCCGTAGGATATTTACTTGCTACACCTGTTCATATTGCTGACTGGCTCATACGAAGGTTATGGAATTGGTAGAGGACATGAAGGTCACGGTTTTAATATCAAACATACCGTTTCATAAAGAGATCGCAGAGACAATTTTCATAATTCCATGGTCCATCTCGACATCTTCATTTCTATTTCGACTTGATTCGTTTTAAATTGAGTTATCACACAGTAAACACGCGAACGCAGAAATTCAGTTTATTGTCAAAATTATAAAATCTTTTTTATGAATTTGTACATACAAGGGGATTAACTCTGTCGTCTACGATCCCCCCCCCCCCTCCCTTTTTTTTTTTTTTTTTAAGGAGAATAATACAGTAATACATTTGCGAACAAAGTTACAAGATTTCGGTTTCTATTCAAAATTGACAGTATTCGATATATTGAAAGTCATATAAGCACACAAATCGAAAAAAAAACGAATAAATGTCTACTTGCGCTTCAATTGAAAATTTTATTACTTTCGGCAAGCATTCTTTTTGTTGAATTGAAGTGATCTCGTAAATATCTTTTTGACGCGAGTTTTCTCTATTATTAATGTTATTGTTAATTTAGAAGTATAACAAAATTATAATAGCGAAGCAGGTGTTGAGAACTATCAACTGATCAAATATGATGATTGTGTTTGTGGTAGTAAAGATATTTTACGATGAAAACGGATAACACATTCAAACGTCAGACATATTTAATTACTAACAGCACTAGTAATCACAAGGACAAGTTTAGTGACTTAGACATACGGGCGTATTTATATGATACGACCATTGTAAAATCTATTTGATATTGAATAACTATATACCACCGGCATGCGTGTAAGTTGCGTACACTGATTTAAATTTTGAAATGCACCTGCGTTCCGGCACACGTACTTTTGCGATAGGATGCGATTTTAGTAGATTCAAGCGACAACGAAGGAAAGTACGGATTCACTCGTGTTAAAGTACATAGTAGTAGTAGTGTATTAGTAATAGTAGTACTAATATTAATGATAAGAGTTATTATTAAGATCTTAAAGAAAGGGAAAAAGAAAGAGAACGAGAGAGAGAACGAGAAAGAGAGAGAGAGAGAGGGAAGAGAAAGAATAAACAGTAAAACTGCTGTTGATGATTGGCACATCTCCATTTTTAATATATTTGTCGCTAGTATTATATTACTGTTCATATTATTTTGTTATATTCCGTGCATCATGAGAAGCAACGATAAATAAATTCTTTCATAGCATAGAGAATCATGGATATTTCATATGGATTAAATAAAGATTCACATTTTAATAGAAAACATTTGGCAATCGAGTTTGTCAGTTACTTACGAGTCCCTCCCCTTATTTTATCAATCGATTTTTAGTCTTCTTTTTTTACATTTAGTCTCCTTTCTTCAATTTCGAGAGAATAATTCAGTTTCATCCGTGCGACAGTTGTAACGATAATTCAGACGATAATAATTAGCAACAAATAACTAACATAACGGCGTATAGAATACAACGATTTATTATTACATCAAGACGAGATATGTACATTTTTGTAAAATCATACTTTCAGAAAGCAGCGTCGGAAGTCCATGATTTTTTATCAAGCGATATTTATATACATATACGTATGCGCATATGTATATTATATGTACATTGTCTTTCGCATTGTTATTAACCTATGTTACTGCTAACAATTGCCAAAAGATTCGTAAAGCACAGATGAAAAGGTCTAAATATATATACTTCTGCACTCAATTCTCTCGCATGTTCTTTTCCTTAATAATGTAGTTCTGACATTATAAAATGATACAAACTAAATATATAGTAGAGTAGAAAATTGAGACTTGCATCTCGTTTGGAAAGTGATAGTTACGACTGCAACTTTATTCGTTCCGAAAAGTCTGTAACTGTTTTAACTTACAAAATACGACGTAAAATGAAATTAAACATTATCGTCCGCAGTTGTTTAAGTCTATTTAGGCTTGTAGTTTTCAGATATGTGGATTTTGTGTATGTAGGTACATCTTTCGAGAACTGCACGGTAAACGCTATCGATTCCGTTATATACTCGTTATCGAAGTCTAATAATCTAACAACTTCTTATCACATCGAAAGCCCTGAAAAATTTACTCTCACATTTACCCTATGCGTTATTATTTACCTCGAAGAGTCCCTATGTCCGATTGTTACTTTGATTTTACAATTGTACCGCCCTGCCGAGCGTTTCTGTACTAACTGCATTTTTGTTCCTACAAGTTTCACTGCATATGGCATATGACATTTCTTCTATATAAAACAATCACGAGAGTAAATGGAATCATGATAAACTCGAGTAGTCTAAATTAAGATTAGAGTTGCTCAGGACGGTTTAGTTTCGTACGTATATAATTGTTTAGTATCTTGTTTCTTAAATACTTTTCCTCGCACATATCGCATACATTTCGGATTTCCTAAATCGTCCTTTCTGCTGTCATCGTAAACTTGAAATTGTTTATCCGCTGACGGGCTACGATTTGTTCCGTGGAAATTTCATCTCAATCGAATTTCATCGTGTGATTTCTGTGGTAAATTTGGATCACGTCGATCGCTAATTTCGAATTTAAAATTTGCTGAGTAATTTGTTGCAAAGATCAAATATTTATCCTGATATTATTACTCGGAACTGAAAGGATCGTTTACATAATATATGTTTCGTTTTTCCACCGAGCAAGCTTATTTTTTTCTCGACGATGATGAATCTTTCGCCGAGTCCGGTAAACTGCAAGCTTGAATGTTTCTCGTTGAGAAATTGCATGAATCTGTAGAATAAACTTGGTTGAATCACGCTTCAAGTTTTATAAAAGTTTTCACGATGATGTATATGTGTACGTGTACACTTAAAATCGACACAATGACAGCTACCTCTCCGCCGTAAATTATAATCGTTGTTCGTGTCCCCAGAAATTGCGAAACATTGTCCAATATTGGTACAAAAGGTAAGTGAGACTTTTGTATAAGACTCATACGAGTGCTTTCGAGTGAGTATCGTGGGTCTTTGGCGTTTTCGTCGAGCTTCTCTGAGAACTTTTCATACTGTGTAATAACGTTCTATATAATGAACGTTTCCGATAGCAACAGAGCTATTACGACAGAAGTTGCAACATCCGTAACATCTTTGTGTGTATGTGTGTGTGTGTGTGTGTGTGTGTGCGTACGTGAAATTTACGGATGAGTCGAGTTTGGCACTCGTGAATATTCACGCGATGGAGCATTTGTGACACCGTCGGCTCTTCGATTTCGCCTTGGCATTTTCCTGATCCATCTGCTTGCGAACGGAATCTGCAGAGAAATGTCATTTTTACCTTTTATAATGTGTATTAAAATTTTGCAATTTATTTTGTGACGAGCTGCGATTAGTTGATATTTTCTCTCGTAATTGTGACGTAAATGCGACGAATCAAAAAATGAAATACATAATTTTTCTGTTTGCTGTAGAGAGGTCTAGTAATCTAGATAAAAGTAATGTAGACTAGATAAAATCGTCATTTGTGTCTCGTCCAAATTATCCATTGTTGTCTCAGTAGTGTATGCGAAAAATCGTTGATATAATATTATCACAGACGTGATATTCAGTAATGTTTTCACGTAAAATTACCATTTTAAAACATCGACCTAACGACCCCTCCCCCTCCCCCCCTGCTTATCGCAAGAGTGCCAGCGTGACAGTTATTTTACGTCGGACGATGTTTGTCGAGTTAATGATCGGCTATAAACGTTAGAAGGAGAATTACCAGCAATCGCCTTCTTGCCTACCGCTGACAAAGCTTCGCAGAGCTCTTTCGCCAACGGCACGTCGGGATTTAATCCGGAAGCCCAGATGAGTAACATTCGAAATCCATGCTCTTTGTAGCTCGAAGGACCTACAATTGGAGCTTTATCGTCCTTTTCATAAGGCTGCTCTAAGTGCACTATAGGAACATCGAGGTACAAATGCGTTATATTCCTCTAACTTATGGAAACATTCTAACTTGCTTATAACATTTGGAAATGATCAAAGTACCATTTAGTGAGACGTGGCATTTTAATCTTTTCATTGGCAATTTAGGTTCGAAGAAGCTACACAGATAACTGCGCAGATCTAACGAATAGATAATTAATATTGACGATCAACCATCCTAAGGCGAGTAATTGTTCCAAAAGTCGTCATCGAGTAAAGCAGTACGTTTGCAATTACGATGTTCCAACCTTCTCTCTCACTTTTAATTTTATTCGGGATTTGTAATCGGTAACGTAAGAATGCAGAGTAAGAACGCATTTATGTATAGGATAAATGTGGACGCGTGTTAATTTGTTAAGGAAAACGGATGCACCCGTCGCAGAGATTGGGATATTTATCTTAAATTTTGCCTCCTTCCTTTTCTCGTGAAAATTAGTCGAGCTTGATCTTCTCTTTTCGTACCTCGATGGCATTACGACAACTTTTCGCGCAACTTAGCGGCGAACGTGAGCAAGAACGCGATACATAACGCCGATTTACCTGTATACTGATGCTCGATAGCTCTGATCTGGTCGTGGGTGAAGGCCCAGTGGAGAGCCAATTTCTTCCAGTCGCCGGGCGCCAGCTGTTTGTAGGCCAGCTTCCAAAGAATGGATCGCATTTGCTCGGACAGGCCGCCGTTGTTGCTGGAAATGCTGCCACCGCGCGAGCCTTCTCTCCATCGTCTTCGTGCTGGAGTTAATTCTCGAGCCTCCTTGTCGGAACTCGAAATCTCCTAAGATTTCCAAGTACTCGGTCACACATGTGCCGCGTGCTTGTAAGCGCCGGAATTACGGACGAGGCGCCTCCTCGTGCAACATTTCGACCCGTTCGGAGGAATTTTTATCAGCAAAGAGAAAGAGAGAGAGAGAGAGAGAGAGAGAGAGAGAGAGAGAGAGAGAGAGAGAGAGAGAGAGAGAGAGAGATCTCTGCGAGCGCTCCGCGTTGTTTTCGACCGAAAATACACGCTCAAGATTTTGGCGACTCGTACGTTGAGATAATAAACTTCACGAGAATTCTTTGCAAGGATTTTTACTACCTTTCAAGCGTATTCGAAGTGAAAATTTTTAGCGCGTATTTTCTCGCTTCTGACGCCATAAATTAAGAATTCCGCTGTGAGGGGCCGGCGGGAGCCGTTTGATGTGCTTTGTGACTGCACGCTTTTAAAAATTACGATGTTTATCGAACGCGAGATACGAAAGAACGAGCCCGGCTTGGGCGGCGGGCGAAATTCTCTCGACTGCACACAGGTGTACCTACCAGGGTCGGATAATCCAATCTCGCGGTTTTAATGATCATGTCGACGATGGCCGTGAAACTGCCTCTCGCCGCTATGTAAAGTGGTGTCCGGCCGCTCTGCAAACGTCGGGATAACTTTGGTTTAACTTCATTATCGAGTTTACGACGGCCACCAAACTCGCCACCTCTATCCCGTAAACCGCGATGTGCGGGATTAAGGCGTTCGCGGTTCGCGGATTTCCTCCAAGCAGCGCGGCTTTGCGTTGTCGGTAGAAAATCGTGCAGCCGCGTCTGCGACCCCGACGCTTCCGTTCGATGCGTCAAACGAGATTATTCGGTGCCGTATTATTCAAGTTGCGTCGTGAGATTAAATCCGTCGCACAGCTCTTTTCGCGATGTAAAAGGGGAAAGGATATATACCCTTTGACTCTGTCTCCTATCAAATTCTACTCGCGGAGATTTCGTTATCCGTTATCCGTCCGAATCCAACTCGTTCGTTTGGTCTTTTGTCAATTTCGCTAATGTCCGCGTAATCGCAATAGCACTCGGTGAGTATTACGTATTAATTTCATTTGTCCGTATGAAACCAGGACGATTCATGATTGTCCCGTGACGGGATTGGACCTAGATTGGGTTTAAAATGCGCGATACTGGACGTGTCTATTAAGTAAGCTGAGTCTTTTAATTACAGTCAAGCTGTCGGGGAATATTGCACACAAGCGGCAATTATAATTGCCAGCTGTTTATAATAATACGCGACCGTGTGTTATTCCGTTTTCATCTCTTTGATTCCTTTGGATATTTACGTAATTGAATTTCCTTTTTAATTAGGCTGCTCCCCTGCCTCACGTAATTAACCGGCGCCGCGCACTCTCGGAAGCCCTTTTACGTTTCGCGAACATTACAAGTTCGCTTGCATCGTAAGAGCGAGGCGAACAAATAATTAAATAACTTATGAACAAGCTTTAATTACTTATCGAATAATTCGGTCGCTTAATTACGTCGTAATTCGATCGTGGGCCTGGAATTCACGATGGAACAATTCGTTTCGGCGTCGAACCGAGCAGCGAAATAATGGCGAAGCATTCGCCGATTAAATTAGAGTCGATTATTTGTCCGGGATAGAAACATTGAATGAATCGTTAAAAGGACGACGCGGTGACACACAACAATCGCACAACGTTCGATCTCTTTACCTGTTCCTTCTGCTCGATATTCGCACCTGCTGCAAGAAGTAACTCGCAGATGTCCGTGTGTCCCATCTCGGCAGCGATGTGAATAGGCGATTGAAGCCTCTGAAACGAATCGATGCAAAACGTGAAAATATCACTGGCAATTTCATCGCAAATTTTTCCGACGTCCTTAGAGTATCGAGACAGAACACGAGACGGTGTCGCGTGTCGCGCAACATTTTAACTTCATCCTGGAAACTGGCGCACGTGACATCCTCTTGCGCGATGTACGTGATAATACAAGTCGCGTGTCGTTACGTCGATAAAAAAAAAATGCGATTGTACGCGAGGACTATATATGTGGACGCGTTCTACGTACCAAATTTAGACAATTCAGATCGACGCCCTTGTTAATTAATATCTCTACCGTGTCTACTTCGTTGTTCTGGCAGGCCAGATGCAGAGGGGTATTGCCGTTCTGCAAGCAGAAAACCAATCACCTGTGTAGGTATTTGTGCACGCGTGGCTGGCGGTATCGATCGGGAGCGAAAGATTCCGAAACAGATATACCGGGTGTTTCAGACCACCCGGGTCACCCGATTTTTTTGTTAACGCGACATTTTAGAGAAAAATATTTCAAACAAAAGTTGTAGGGCTTCAAAGGATTTATTTACTGACGCTATGAGTTTGACCTTGGGATAACCTTGAAAAGTCCAGTCAAGACCAACATAAAAATCTCAAATGGAAACCGCGATTTTTTATCACACCGTCTTTTTTACACCAATCAACAACTTTTGTCTAAAATATTTTTTCGTTTGCCTAATATTTTTCTAGATATCGAAGGAAAACTTGATGACTTTTTCAATATTTAACTTACGATATCTCGCTAACAAGTTGTCGGAAGAAAAAGTAGTACTAGACTTTTTTGCTCTATTTAGTCTCAAGAATATATTTTTACAATAGCACCCTGATTTTTAATCTTAACTTACTGATTTTTGGAAATTTCAAAATCATCAAATTAACTAAAAAACCAGGGCGCTATTGGAACAATATATTCTTGAGACTAAATAGAGCAAAAAAGTCTAGTACCACTTTTTCTTCTGACAAATAATTAGCGAGATATCGTGAATTAAATATTGAAAAAGTTATCAAGTTTTCCTTAAATATCTCAAAAAATATTAGGTAAATAAAAAAATGTTTCAGACAAAAGTTGTTCAAATTAATTGCTAGAAAAAGATGATGTAATAAAAAATTGGGGTATCCATTTAAGATTTTTATGTTGATCTTGACTGGACTTTTCTAGGTTATTCCAAGGTCAAATTCATAGCGTCAGTAAATAGATCCTCTGAAGCCCAACAACTTTTGTCTGAAATATTTTTCTGTAAAATGTCACGTTAATGAAAAAATCGGGTGACCCGGGTGGTCTGAAACACCCGATATAAAGGATGTCCCAAAATTCACGCAAGAAGTAATCTTGATAGAAAACACAGTTTTATAATTAAAAATTGTAAATTTCTTATTGATTCGTAAAGTATACAGTATAGGGGGTTACGTATGGAATAGCATATCGGGTAAATGGCCTCCACGGTTTTGCTGGCACATATGCGCTCTTTTGTTGAAACTTTCCATGACCGTTTTGCATAAATGTGGCTGAATTTCGTTGATACAGCGCTCAATTTCCTCCTTCAAGGCGTAGGTAGTCGTGGGCTTGTTGGCATAAACCTTAGACTTCAAAAAACCTCAAAGAAAAAAGTCCAACGGCGTTAAATCGCATGATCTGGGCGGCCAAATCTGATCACCAAAACGGGAAATTACACGACCAGGAAATGACTCATGCAGTAATGGAATTGTTTCTCGGGCTATATGGCATGTGGCACCGTTTTGTTGAAACCACATGTCGTCCACATCCATATCTTGCAATTTAGGCACAAAAAACTGGATTATCATGTCGCGATAGCGAGCACCATTAACTGTTATTGCGTGACCAGCCGCATTTTCGAAGAAGAATGGTCCGATGGTGCCTCCAGCCAAAAATCCGCCCCAAACAGTGACACGTTGTGGATGCATTTGTTTCTCAACAATCACTCGTGGATTTTCTGAACCCCAAATGCGACAATTCTGTCGATTAACCAAGCCATCAAGATGAAAATGAGCCTCATCGCTGAAGATGATTTTGTTCGAAAAATCAGCATCCACTTGTTGTGTTCCATAATTCATTCAACGAACTCTCTTCGCTATGGCCGTTTACCCGATATGCTATTCCATACATAACCCTATACTGTATACTTTATGAATCAATAAAAAATTTACAGTTTTTAATTATAAACCTGTGTTTTCTATCAAAATTACTTCTTGCGTGAATTTTGGGACACCCTTTAAAATACAATATATATATATGTATACCTTGCACTGCTTGTTAAGATCAGCCCCGTGCTGAATCATGGAGTCAAGTATTCCCTTGCAGCCTTGACTCGCAGCGACGTGAAGAGGAGTGAAGCCCACCTGGAAGATAGTCGATGCAGATTTCAGCGATACGCGTCGAGAGCCGCGATTGACACAACGAAATCTTATCCGGTTAGTTATTCTTGCTCTAACGAGACCGTTCGTCATTGAGGAAGACTTGGCAAGTCGCAATGAAAATTTCATTCACCCTGACAACGATATTTCTCTCACCGCATCATCGAGAATTATCGCGTAAAGGTATTATGTCGTTTTCGATTCGCCCGATAGCTTGTTTCTGCTTGGCAAGGTGATGCAGCAAAATTGTCCCACTCACCGCATCGGTGAGCTCGGTGTTTGCTCGCGCCTTCAGTAACAACTGCGCGATCCCGGTGTGCCTGGTCCTGGTGGCCACGTGAAGCGGGGTATTACCATCGTTATCCTGGGCGTCTACGTTCGCGCCTAATCCTATAAGGACCTCGACACCCTCCAGGTGCTCCTCGGCGCAGGCACAGTGCATCGGTGTTTGTCCTTTCTGCAAGGCAATCCGGAGATTCATTGCGACTCACGAGGATGACTCTTTCACTCGTCTTCACGCATCGACGTCGTCGAGATATTCAGCTTTCTCTGATCAGAAGCGACCGGCTGCACGATATTAGAGGACGCTGAACGCGTGCTTCTCAGCGAGATTAGAATTCCGCGCGCTGACTCTGAGAGAATCGAGAAGGATACGCGGCTAAATTGAATGAAGAGGTAAAGGTACCAGGAGGAGGCGCGAGTTTGTTTACGGAGGTTCCTGTGAAACGTGCTTGATGGAGGCCGCGGCCGACTTCCAGCAGAGACCTTCCCCAGGGGATTTCGCTCGTCCTGCTGATAGGGAGGAGAAGGAGAAGCAGGGAGAGCAGAAGAAGAAGAAGAAGACACACAGCCTGCGCTGGAGACCCACTTTTCAGGATCTAAGTTGAGAGAGACAGAGAGAGCGGCGGCGGGGGGGGGGGAGAAGATGGAGGAAAAGGTGCGCTCGTGCGACCCGATCCACCTGAGCGTACATACGGCTGCGTATACTGAAATCTAAATCTATCAGCGATTCTTCTCTTATCTTTCATCCCGCCCCCCGACCCCGTGGAACGAACGTTCGATTGTTCCTGTCGATAAATTATAAATTCCCTCTTTTGTGCCTACCGACCGTTTTGCGATCGATAGCGCCGCGCCATGGAGGACTCGCCGTTATTCCCGAACAATCGTTGATGCGTTTTCGTTGTTTCGGGTCACGGTGTGTGTGTGTGTACGTGCTTCCACGAGAAATGTAAACGAGCGACGCCGTATATCAGATTTAATATATCGTGCCGAGTAATTCATATCGAGAAGCGGATATAAAGCTCGCGCTAAAGAGAAGATCGATAATTTGCGCCGTTGTAGATCTGCGACGGAAATACCGTCGAGGGAAGCACACCGATTGTCGCGCGGTAAAACGCGTTATCCCCAATTTGCGCCATTATCGTTCTTTCCCGAGTCGCAGGATTCAGGAGTGTTCCTTCGCCATATCGATTCTCATATCGTCGTCCCGTTGTATTGTCTGCAATTTCTTTCGCTTTTTAAGCTGTTTACACCCGTGAGCAGAATTCAAGTCAGCGCCCGGTGTGAAAGTCCCGAAATATCGGCGTCTTTCCTTTCACCAGTTTGCTGTTACGAATAATGCCGTGGAAATACTTTCGTTGCAGATAATATACATTCAAACGTGCATGATAACTTGACGGTTTACAAAGGACCTCCGTCCGGAGCCAATATGGCGCTCAAGCATATCCCCGGGGGTGAACGTGTTGTTTGCAGGTACGTTACGTGTGTATATTTCACGTATTGGGAAGCAGCTTGTGAAACGTCCCAGAGAGCACTTGCGTCACGTCAAGGCTGATCCCGAATTGTTGACAGATATTTATCGTCTGCTGTGTAGAAACAAAGGACGCCGCCTGAGACCATATCGATTGGAAATATTGAAAAAACAGAGAGAGAGAGAGAAAGGAAAAAAACTTCTTTCTTCGGTCATGATTATTTATGAAACATTAGACTGATTAAGCGATTAAACTTTCAAGGGAAACTCCATGGTTGATATGTTGATTCGCTCCCACATTACAACACATCGGTTTACACGTAATAACCGTTTAAAAATCTTTTTCGCTCACAAGGAAAGAAATAGATATCTAAATGTATAAACACAATATAAAGAGATTTGTGTACGTATGTTATTGTGTGTATGGAAGTTTGGAAGATTTCTTGACAAGATTTGGCAGACTATCCACTGCGTGGCAGTGAATTATGCAGCGAAGCAATATGTGTAGTATGGAAATTGTATTTAATGCTAATGCTGTGCATTATGAAAATATGCATGCTATCGTATTTTGACCATAAATTAGTAAGATGGGATGTAAATTCTCATTGCTGTTTATCTGTAATAAAGTTATATTAATTCTGATATCGCGCGTTCAATAATTTGCTCGTTGTAATTTATATGTAACTTTATCCTCGCACTTGCAGCACAAAACGCACATGTTTGCGATTACACGCCAAAAATATTCAGTAAATGCGCTCGTATTCTTCCGGAGGCGGGAAGTAAACTATTTCTGGGGACGAAGAAGAGACGATGTGCGTCACGAGATTACTCTTGAGAATATCGTTTCAGCCAATTAGCCAGCGTTCCGCACAAGCCTGTCAAAAAGACAGGCGGCATAAAATCATGCATAATTGATGCATGCAAATATTTGCCGACCAATTAATAATTTATGAAGCGAACTGTGTGTGCGCGCGCGCGCGCGCGCTTGTGATAGCACGAATGAATTTTCCGCGAGTTTACGCGGAAGTAGTCGGTTTATGATTGACGGTATGTACATTCGAGCGAAGTTCGGCCGACGAAGATGCTAATGAGCGAATGGACGGTTGGACGGACGTCCCCTGAGATACTGAATTGCGGGCGAAATGGTGGGAATCAGATTTCCGGGTGTGGAATATCTCGTTGCGACGCGAAATTCGAGAGCCCGAGGTCGAAGCATGACCATATTGTGCGAGAGTGCCATCGGCGAATTTCAGAATATACACACACGATGCAGACCGACCAGGTCCGATCCGTTGTAACAAGATAAGCCCGATTGGTGGGTGTTGTTTGCTGCCGCTGCTACTAATATACGCGGAACACAGTATCGAAAAGTAACGCATGTAGAGACAGAAAGAGAGACGAATAAAACAATTAATAAGACAACACAAACGTGACAGAGCGGATTGCACTTTAAAAAGACATTTCGCAACCTTCATTTTGACTTGATCAGCAACGGAGTGACCAGAAAAGCCACGGCGGAGTTCGCGCGAAGAGATTTTTCAATCTCCCCTGAAATCGCCCATTAACTCCGCCCACAGACTCCGCATTAACCTTTACATTCCCTTAATTTCTTTGGAAAATACGGAACGCGCGTTTCTCCTATATTCATATATTATGCGGAAGCAATCGTTTCTGCGAAAATTGAGGTAACAGCGTTCCCGCCCGCGCCGTCGGAACGACGAACAAAGTTGAAGGGGAGTTCCGCGCGAGGGGGACTCGGGGGAGGGAATCGGGCGCCGGGAAAATGCGAGCTGTATACCGCTCGGTGTTATAATATCATTACGGGCGGATTAGCGCGCGGTGCGTTGAAACGTTGAAAGAATAGCCCGCGAGCGCGCGCTTACCTTGTCCGTCGCGTCGAGCACGATCCGCGGTATGTTAGACAGCGCTGTTATAACAGCGGGATGCCCCGTGACAGCCGCGTGGTGAAGCGCAGTTGCACCGGTGCAGTCGGTGGCCTCGCCGTTTAACGATTCCACAGCTTCCGCGAGGTATTCCACCACGCCGACGTTGCTGCCACGAGCGCCGCACATTAAGAGGGTGTATTGTTTCTAACGAGAAAGAGAGAGAGATCCCTTGTTTATACACTCGCTCCTCCGCGGGAGGAGGGAGGAAGGGCGGCTCCTCCGTGAGAGAGGAGGGAAACTCGCATTGTGCATACTCGCCACGCGCGTAACGTTTCCCGCGATTTCAATCCGCGAATGACTTGGTCCTCCCTCATCATCGGTCGCCCCCCTCCAACCAAGCGCACGTGTCTTACTTCCCTCGCCTCTGTTAAAGCGCTAACGACCCGGCGCGGCGGCGCCGGCATGCGAGTAATAAAATTCCGCGGGTCGCGCGAGCAAAAGGAAGAGGCGACGTGACCGCCATTATTCGGGACTCGCGACGCCAATATCAATATTGACGCGTTATCGATTCCAATTTCGCCGCGGTTTCTTCTTGCCGCGACGTGTTTCACCTTTTTCCTCTCCCTCCCCCACTCGCGAGCTTTCAGTTTGAATATTTTCGCCCTCCGCGACACCCGCGATCGATAAATTCCAATTAAATGCACGACGATTTAATCTCGCGCGAGCGTGTTTCGCTGAGGGAGAGTTCCCGTCGGACGGAAGAACGTTCGCGTTGCTTGAAGATGTAGCTTGTTCCTCGCCTCTCACGGACAGCCCGGCCTTCTTCTGCAAATTTCGTTTATGTTTCATGGCTGCGATATGGGCCTCGCCGGCCGCGGAATCGTCCTAGGGGACGATACCTCCGCTTTACCTTGACATGGAATATTCAATAGAACGTTTGCTAAAGGATGATCGATGTACCTTGTTAACCGCGGACACGTTCGCCCCGGCGTTTATCAACATCTTCACCGCGTCCCGGTGTCCGTGCTGGGCGGCCATATGTAAAGGGCGCATTCCATACTTGAAAGAGAAATGCACAGCTCGGAAATTAATGTTCGACCGTGGAATTTCATCAAGACGTGGGGACGGCGGGTAGGTCAAATGAAATTCTCCGAAAGAAGTAACGCTTCTCGCTTGAGAGAGCATGCAAACGTAATATCTATTCATCAGCCTATGTTAATATCTCATTAAAAACAGAAACTCTTGAGACGGTTCTCCAGTGAAGGACATTTTTGATACGCAGATTCGTCGGCTCTCCCTTTCGCGTGCAGGTTAAAGAGAGGGAAGATGTTTCGTTTCCGCTCTGCTCGTTACTCGGCTTGAAATTGTTTCACCGGCTTGAAATTGTTCAACGGGTCGTCATTTTCTAATCGATTCGGTGCCATACCTTGTCTTTCGCTTCGATGTCGCACTTGGCTTGTATCAACATTTCGATAATTTCTGTGTTTCCGCGGGATGCTGCCCAGTGAATCGGAGCGCGGCCATACTATAAGAACAATTTTCAATGTAGTCGCCGTTTCTGCGGACTCGAGCGTCTTCTCGAACAACTTACATTATTTCTGGAATCTACATCGACAGTCTCCTTAAGTACTTTGCGAACGGTGTCCGCTTCGTTCTTTATCACAGCCTCGTGTAGGAGAAGATCATTCTTAAGAACTGTTGTGGAAAAAAGATATAGATGATAGAGAGAAAGAGAGAGAGAGAGAGAGAGAGAGAGAGAGAGAGAGAGAGAGAGAGAGAGAGATCTGAGAAAGAAAGAAAAAGAGACGATATTTTATATAAAAAATAATAGAACAAATACATAACCCTTTGTTTTTCATTTCTCCTTGGCTGCTGCTTATTTTGAAAGATTATTAAAATATTTTGTCGCATCGGATGACACGCGTATCGCTTGCAAAATGAGAGTGAACTTTTGCTTAATAAATACAGATGCGTTTTGTACAAACGCAGAAAAAGCCGCTTTTTCTGCACTCGCGTACATACACCGTATAATATTTCAATCGCTCTGCGTTGGCGCTCGTAAAAACAGAGTTTTCGAGCGGAAAACGAAAAAAAAATATGGATTGTATTAATTTGTTTCGGGCTTCGTGTTTTAACTCCCGACAGTTACGTTGCAACGCGCGCACACGTGCTGTCGTTACCGCGGCACATCGTTTTTTATAATTTCGGACCGCGCTGTATCGATCGCGCGTGTGCAATTCACGGTGGAAGGAAGGAAGGAAGGAAGGAAGGAAGGAAGGAAGGAAGGAAAAAAGGAAGGAAGGAAGGAAGGAAGGAAGGAAGGAAGGAAGGAAGGAAGGAAGGAAGGAAGGAAGGAAGGAAGGAAGGAAGGGAGGAAGGAAGGAAGGGAGGAAGGAAGGAAGGAAGGAAGGAAGGAAGGAGGGAAGGAAGGAAGGAAGGAAGAAAGGAAGGATGGACGGAAGGACGGACGGACGGATAAGCGGCCTGGGACGAAACACGGGGACACGATGTATCGTTGATTACTCGAACGGCTGATTTCGCGAATGTTGCCGTAAATTGGACATTTTTCACTTCCGCGCGGCCGCGAGTTAAAAGGCCGCGCGAAAAAAGGACCTTTCATAAGCGTCGAAACGCGGCTTAGACGGACGCGCGCAAAAAGCTTGCCCGCCAGCGAGGCGCTGTATAATTCGCCATTTTTCTCCTTCCGCCCGCGATAAAAAGAATCGAGCGCATGCGGGAGACGCGGCAGCTGCTTTGCCGGGATTATTACATCGGCCGGCGAAACGACTCAGTTGATCTCGAGGAATTAACGGCTGCCGGGTAAACTGCAGAAATATCGGTCAAAGAGACGTCCGGGCGCTTCATCCAGACGCGCGCGCGCGAGAGTATGAGAGCTTTTCTGACCGCGCTGGGAAATCTTCTCGCGAGAGCGGCCAGCGCGAATTTCACTGCCCGTTTGCCCGTTTGAACTCGCGTTCGCGCGCGCGCGCGCATGTTTTGCGAATATTGCCCCGTAACGTATTTAAATCTGGGCGCATGCCGCAGGAGGCAGCTCGTGCACGGCTCTCTACTCACTTCTAGCAGTCTTTTGGTTCAGTACTTCATCCTCGATCGCCTCGCTGAGGTTCAACGGCGGCGGGGCCCTCGCCTTCGTTATGCTCAGCTCCTTCTTGTCCACCATCTTTCACTGCGCTTGTCCCGGCTGTTGCATTGTCATCGTTGGCTTCGTGGTCTTCTCCCGGTCGTTAGGCGACGCTGATGCTCCCGGCTTGCACCGACTGCTAATGATCGACGACCTAGAAAGCCGAACGACACTGAGAGAGCGGCGCGCCCGACCACGTATGTGGCTATAAGCGCAAAAATCGCAAATAGAAATTGTCAGGTTGAACGGCGCCCGAGTGGCAATTAGCGCAGCGCGCTCGACATCAATGAGCAGCGGGTTGTCATCGCGACCAAGTCATCGTCTCGGCCCCCCGACGAGCTTGTCGACTCGCTCGAGAACGATCAGCACCAAAGTGCGGGAACAGTCGACATCTGCCGTTATCGATGATGCGATGCATCTTGGTGTTGTTTAGCGGTTATCAGCAAACTAAGTTGAGATATTATTACTTTGTTCGTCGCAGCAATTGCAGCCCCGCTGGGATTATGATCCGCGGGAGGGGAAGGGGACCTACGCGTGTATCTTCATCGATTGCGGCCCGTGTATTTGCCGCGTGACGACGGAATAAATCAACGACCGGCGAATTAATCGCGCGCGCGCTTTTTTTTTCCTCTCTGCCGTATTTCACGCGGTCTCGCAATTTCGCATTTCAACGCAGCGAAATCTATCGCATATGTGCGCGGTCAGCGGGAGAAGCTGGCGCGCGATTGCGATACGATGAAAATGGGTAAAGGATATCGCCCGCGAAGAGAGCTCGGTCGCCGGCGTTTAACATTTAATTTGTGGATGATAATTAATTTATTCGCGGACTCTCTAATTTTCGGAATTACCGCAGCTCTCCGTTTTATGACACCGCGGGCTAATTTTCTGGATTGCGCTGCGCGCGCGCGCACGCGTGCGTGCAATTTTTGACGTTAAGTGCTCACTCTGTTCAGCCGATTCGTTGCGTGAGTGCCGATTGGGAGTGCCGGAAATTTAAAGTGTGGGGGAACACTCTAAGGACGAGAACTCGCGCCCGGCCTGCCGATGATTGTGCGAGTCAGGATTTTCGACCGTCTGCGCACGCCGGCGCGCGCTCGAAAATTGCAGCGGACTTAACAAAGCAAGCCAATTATGGTGACTCGCGCGCGAGCTGATGCGATCGAGTTTCTCGGGCTGTTTTGGATCGAATGTTAACATTGCGTGTCCGCTTTCTGTATTCCGCAACAGACGACTCATACATGTAATCTGATATTCATTTAAGTCAAACTATAGGGCGCACATTTAACGACTGCGGAGTTTATCCATTATGCAGCGGCGCTTGTTTATTTGATCATTGTTGCGCGGGAGAACAAGCGCGAGCGCCGTGCGCCGCGCAGAGATGCGAGCGATTCGATGAGCAGAGAATATAATTTGCATTGCACGTCGAATCATTCGAGTCCACTTGTTTATACGACCTTTCGCCCATCCTTCCCAAGGATCAGAAATCGTCAAGGATAAAGGATCGTTATAAAAACGCAGGTGAAAAAAGTGTGTTTTTTCAGAAGAAGAAGACGTTCACAAATCGACGTTCTTTCTCAATGCCGTTGATATCATTCCGAGGCTCGCTCCATTCCGGAAATAAATTATACCTCTGGTGGATTTAAAAAATGGCGCAGTTTCGAGAGCGCCCTGCCCCAGACACGACGAGCAAACTAGATTAAAAGAGTCTCTTTCGTTCCACTCAGAAGAGCACCAGACTCGCGCATCGATACGTGCGCGTATCTCTTTTCCAACTGCGGAAGGTGAATAGGATAACGCAACAGGAGAAATTTGGATCCTTGCCTGTCACTCGCGTCGAACTCGAACGGCGAGGCTCAGCCAGCGAGTGTAAATTAGACGTATCTGACGCTGCTTGATATCCGCTCGCCCGTACGTATTAAACTAATTTGGCTGATTGAATTAGTTCTCCCGTTGCACGGTTTCCATCATGTTTGCAGCGGCACTCGCGGCAACATCTCATAAATTCGACGATATTCTGTAGCGGGAAGCCGGGCGAAGCCGAGCTACAACTCGGCGCGCGCGCGCACCGCGGAATCCAAATAATCGCGCTTAAACGAGAATGGAGATTACATGAAATATCTCGGCATCCGTGTCGGTTATAGACCGCGGATCGTTAACAGAGTATATCGGTATTTGCGCCGTTCCATAATACGCTACTCGATGTTTTCGCGAAAGAGCGAGGAAGAGCGCTCGACTCTTTAGCGCTCGTTTCTCGCCGCTTCTCTTTCTCTCATTACTTTCCTCCGGTATCGTCCGTCTCGTTCTCCCGAAGCACATGCAGTGTTTATACAGCCTGATGTATCGCCTGATATGTAACCGCGCCGTACATTTTGCCGTATACAATGTTTGCGGCTACCCGCATCGGGCCGCGTTTTCAGTTATCGCTCTTGCGCCGTTTCGTTAATAATACAATGGCAGGAACGCGATGTTTCCGTTGTCCGATTATCCGCCGCAGCGCGAGCTCCCCGCCTGGGAAGTAAATTTTCGGTCCATGCGCGCGGTTTAGGTTCCGCATATAAAACTCGATAAAATAGCGTGTAAATCACTGTCGCGCGGTGTAATAATAATAATAATAACAGTAATAATGATGTTACCTGTCATAAATGTATACTCGGCCTAAGTGCATCTATTTAATTAGCCAAAAAGACTTTAGAGCATATGTAGTTGTAAATCTTTATCGTCGAGAGAGAGAGAGAGGGAGAGAGAGAGAGAGAGAGAGAGAGAGAGAGAGAGAGAGAGAGAGAGAATCGCGTCGCCTCTCGTAATATATTACCTTTGGCCGCCAGTATTTTTCATATTTTTCTGCCATAGACGGTAAGTCGACATTTTTCTCCGAGGAATCAACCTGGGCAGAGCGGAGGCGCTCCTCGCCTCTAAAGAAAATTTCACACCTCCACGCTTCCAAAGGAATATACTCCTCGGAACACCTTCCTACGTTTTTGTCTTGTTGCGTCTTCATCCAGCCGCGTCTCGTGTCGAAAATCTCGCCGCTGCATTCGTGCAGTTTCCATTAGAGGAAGCATATTGCGTATATAATATCCTTTGTAGCACGGGGATAATAATAAGAGTCGCAGCCACTCGGGAATTTTTGCAGAGATTTTCCCGCGGGGGAAGAAAAAGGAGGAGAGAACGAGGAGGAAGTAGCACGGGGAATTTGGTACGAGGTTGTAGTTTCGCGTTACTCCAAGTTCTACTGTCATTCTTCTGCGCGCATAACCGTATCAACTAGCATTGTTCTCATCCGCAGTGTTCCTAAGGTCAGCTCTTTCAAATTCGAAGCTGTGCCCGGGGCGAATCTTGTAAATTGCCAGTTTATTCCGAGGCTGTTGCCCGGAATATCTTACTCGAAAACTGAGGTCGATCCATTTTGCGTAGAAAAATTGCGTCGCTTCAATCTCACGCGTAACAGTCGACGTTGGCAGAGATGGATATTTGCTTTGCGGGAACTCGAAAAAGACTTCACGTACGAAGTTTACTCGTACATTTCGCGCATCGGTCATTTCGTAGCGAATTGATATCGCGAGGCCTCGGCGCGCAAACACAGCGCGACGATCGAAATATTTAAAAAGTGGCCAATGACAGGTGTGCAAATGGATTTCGAGGGACGTTTTGTGCCGGGCGCCATTGTCTCTCTCTCTCTCTCTCTCTCTCTCTCTCTCTCTCTCTATCTCTCTCTCTCTCTCTCGATACAATCCACGGACAACACGTGCGGTAAGGTTTTGGTGCTTCGCGATGCGCGACGGTGCGCTCATCTCCTCTGAATGGTACTCGGACCTTGAATGCACGGTGAGAGACAATGGACGTGTGCCGAAATTGAAGATGAAACGCGGACGAACATGTCCTTAATTGATCGTTGTTAATTCATCGCTCCTGCAAATTGATATTGTGTCGACAGATTGTGTGTCGTGTGACGACACGACGTGCCGTCACACTAAAACTCAGAGAAATGCGAGTCGAGCCATGCTGCCGGCGATGAGATTAAAAATCCTTATCTACAGTTTCTGCAAATGTAATAACGAAGCACAGTCAGCTTGAGAAATTTCTGTTAAAGGCACATCCATTTTCGGCGATTCCAAGAGACGTTCAAATGTTCTCAGTCTGATCGTCCATTAATAATTAGGAGAGATTAATTCTCTCACTGAGATGAAATGATGCAAACTACTTTGAAAATCCTACATGTCTCATGTGCTTTTTTTTTCATAAATATAACATGCTTTCTTGGAAGTTTTTATGATTCTACGCACGCTGTTTCACCGCCGCCAATAGAGACAAATGAAAATGCAAAGAGCTCACGCGAGAATCAGCATGCGATCGATCGTTCGAAGTAATCTGGAAACACGTGTGTATGTGTGTGTGTGTGTGTGTATTTCACACGCGTGCGTTTATGATTAAATAAATCCCTCCTGATAGCGAGCTAATAAATGTTGAAATATCACGATACTTGATCCGTTGAAACGTAGCAACGGAAGAATGCGATTGATGCGATACTCGAATTTCTGCCGTATTGATTGGCGCACTTAATCGAGGATACGGCTTTAGTCATGCATGCGTTTACATGGATGACGTTTTGCACGATTCGGTGAATATAATCTGCTTAAATGAAGCGCGCATTACACTCTCTATTAGTAGGTCAATCGAGAAATTACACGCGCGCATATAGTTCTTTCGGCGAGACAGCAAACTGATCACCCTAGCGATGAATATTGAAAACGCTGGTCGAGTCAAGCCGAGTGTGATCCCGGCGGAGGAAGGATGAAGACGCGGGAATTGGAGTTTTGCGTGTACAGCGGCTTAAAGATCCTAAAAAGGTCAATTCGTCGGTGTGTTTGAAAGACGACCTCCCTGTGTAAATAATTGTCCCCGAGTTACCGTGGCTTTAATTACGACGCTTAAGTCGTCCGTCTTAAAGTAGTGGCATAGTTTCCCAGAGCTCAGAAACTCGTTCAGGCTTTCCCGATAATTCAAGCCCTCTCAAGTCGAACGCCGAACTTTCCGCGAACCTACCAAGTAGCTGGATATCGGTGCAAAGATATATCAAGCATCCGGAATTCCAGCTTCGTTTACTGTCTCTTATAAAATATATAGAGAGTCGCGCGGAGCTTGGACGCGCGGATCGTGTCTTTCTCTTGCATTAAACTTTAATCGTCCATCGGCTGGAACGTCCCGAACTCCGTTAAAGATTCAATTACGAGTAGAAATTGAAATAAAATTACAATCAGATTTAACGAGAGAGGAAGAGAGAAAGAGAGAGAGAGAGAGAGAGAGAGAGAGAGAGAGAGAGAGAGAGAGAGAGAGAGAGAGAGAGAGAGAGAGAGAGAGGAGAGAGAGAGAGAGAGAGAGAGAGAGAGAGAGAGAGAGAGAGAGAGAGAGAGGGAGAGGGAGGGAGGGAGGGAGGGGGAAAGCGAAAAGATTCCGTGTTGGCGTATATGCGATCCTTAACTCGGTTATTCCTCGATCTCTTAAAACAAAGAAAATCAGAAACTAGACTGCGATGCGTCTGCATTGTACATAATATATATTTCTCTCATCGCTGCTCGATCGACATCCGATCGCCGCCTATCAACACCTAAGCCAAAGCTTACCGGAGCCAAAGCATACTTCGAAACGTGATTACTGTGATGTTTGAAAATTGCGCCAAGATTCTCCGCTGTTCAAACGGCCAGAAAATAACAGAGCAATTGCTTTGTGTTTACGCTGGAGCTCGAAGCTTTGAGCATCCGCGGGCTGACGAGTCGACGTCGACGCGTTTCGCGTTTTGTGTCGCGCCTTTGTTTCGCGCGTCGATTTCGATTTCTCGTCGCGCGTTTTCGCGCGTCGATTATCGATGTAAAACTGCGAGAGGACGGGCGGAATAAGCCTCGACCTCGGGCAACAAATCATCCGTATATATCGCGCGAGTCGCGCGAAACGCGCGGATAACGTGCGAATGTGTATGTACGCGCAGGCAGGTCCTTAAATTATTTTAATGTCACTACTGTACTTCATATACATCCCCGCTCGTTAACGTCGCGCGTACGCACGTACTCATCCAACTCCGAATTTTCCGAAAATGTTCTCGCTGCTGGCTGAAAGCGCCGAGCCAGGTGAGCGAGTTTCGTGCTTGAAATAACGTAACACCGCTCGCGACGCGCTCCAATGTCATATTCTTCAATTGCGCGGCGTATCGGGATCAATTCGCTCAACTTGCGCGCGACTCGTATTTTTGCGGGAACTTTAACGACCTGACTTTACACGAACACGCCCCCCTTTCCCTCCGCCCACTTCCTCCCAATCCGTTAGTGCGGGCTTTCGAGCAACAGCCGTTGTTTCCTCGCCGGAACTAACGAGCGCCTTTTGCAAATCTCTCCGGGGAAATTTTAATTTTTAACTTTACGGCTCGTCTCCCTCATCATTCGATAATAGTCCGCGAGCGCGAGAGAGTTGCAGATATTTTTCAAATAACGCAACTCGGTTACTGTACGTACTGGAGCAGCGGCGGAAATGTTTACAGAACGTATTCTTCGATCGATTCAGGACTAGAGAGAGAGAGAGAGAGAGAGAGAGAGAGAGAGAGGAGAGAGAAACAGTTAAATCCCGGTTAACCTCGAATAATGGTCGGGTACGCGAAAATAGTCGAAAAGAAGAATCGCTTGCAGTAACATTTTTCACACTCCTGCTAGCAATTCGAGAATCCTTCAAGATCTTCCTGCGACTCGCGGCGTGCGAGTTTGAGCCGCGTCAACATAGATCACAGCTAGCCCACATAGTCATGAGAGAACAATACATCGTAGAATTCGTAAAATTACTTTGAGCACGGTCGCGAACAGAGTGTGCGTTTGCCGCGATGGTTAATTAGTGCGACTTGAGCGCGGGTGCTTCGCATGTGGGCATTTGTGTGAAATCGACGTGGTATGAGAAGCACGTAGTCACACGACCCCACCACGACTCCGACAAGCTCGAGCACGTCCTTTCTCCTCGATTGGACTTCAATTGGATCATGATCATTACCGTCAAGGTATTCCGCCAATTTATAAGTGGATTGCGTTTCAACGTGAGCCTCGCTATAAGTTTACAATCAAGTCGGAGTCTCCGGCGAGTATGTTTCCTCCGCAACAAGTTCTGGTTTTGCTCGCACGCGAAAAATTTCCGGATTCGCGATCATTATTTTGTCAACGTGGCAACGTTTCTCTCATAGCGCTCGGAAGTGGCATTTCTCCTGAATGGTATTTCCCCAGGGAGTATTTACCGTTAGCTCTCGCTGCAACTTCCTTCTAGTCAATGTTTAATAGTTTAATCAATTATAGCTCCTTCTCTTGTGTAATATTCTGTTACTCGACTCGCGTTTCAGAAAATGTATTTGCCAAACAAACTCAGCTTCTACAGCGCGAATTAAGCAACAAAGTTATACTTTTCTAGACATCCTGCTTATCGTATATATCAACAATCAGGAAATCTTTCATTGGGGTTTAAGGCAAGCGTTCATTCTACTATGCGCACTTCTCAGATGTAGATCATTTAAAGATTTTAATTTCATTCTTCTTTAGTATTTTTCCCTCAAATTCCTATCTTACTCGCGGCGGAATTTACACGGAACAAGTAGACGTTTCCTCGTCTCGACTCCTCCTTCCTCTCCATTTTAACGCAATATTCCCGCATGAAATCGTACTCGACGTACAAAAATATCCTATTATAATATATATGCTACACACACTGCAGCAGCCTCGTGAGTAACGAATCGGCCGGATGCGTTCGCTTACGTCGTTTCGCCTCGGTTTGTCCTCGCCACGGCGAGCCACCCTCTTGGATTTTCGGTCACTGGTACAACGGGCTTCGAGCGAAATCAGGTGCGGAACGGGAGTTGCGTCCTCCTCCGCCACACGAAAGCTCACCTGACGTTCACACTACAAGAGGCGGCATGCTACTGGCCGAAACGTCCCCGTTTCGCCTTGCGAGGCACCCCCATTATTAGGTCGACGGCAGCGCAGCCACGTGGAGGGTTGGACCACTACTACAGGCGCTCTCGTGTAGTTGCCACGGATTTGGACTTGTCGATTTGAAAACTGCTGAAAATCGCTTTGGGAGGATTGCAGTACCCCTCTCTTACCGTTATTGTCCGTGCGACCGTGATGTGTTAGGTGTCCAGCTGTTACAATTTACAGCGGCGTGTCTTGAGCCTTTAGATAGTCTTCATAGCCTCAGACAAATTTGTGCTTTTTACGTTTGATTAAATGTCGCAGTGTTTTCTCTCGTACATTTGGCAATTTTGCTATATTTTGTTATATCTTTGGTATAATATTTTCAATTTCAGTATATTTTATATTTGATAATTTCAAGTATATTTGATCTCGAAAATTTCACCTCATTTTCTTTGTGCGCTTGAGGTATAGAGCCGGCTGCATGCTTAATAATAATTATGTTCAACGAGAAAAATAACTAAATTTTCTCGCGCGATAATTGTTGGAATTTAATTACAACACGAGAAAGGGGCCGTTTGGAGTTTTGTGCCGAAGCGCGCAACGAGAAATAGAGCACGAGAATAATATGGTAATTTCCGACGTGGAAAAAACCAGGGCATTCTTTCTGCGCAAAGGTAAAATCACGTCGACGCACTAATATTCTCTCGCATGGCTTATTTATGTCCGCACGATTTACGATGTGCGATTTTCGACCGTGCCTCTCTGTGTCAAGCGCCGCTGTTCCACGATAAATACAGCGATTTCACAAAATACGCCGAAAGCCGGCGACAAAGTAGGAAGAGGTCAAGGAGATCTTTTTTCGACGTTATAAGCGATACGCGCGGGCGACGACAATTCTTGCTCGGGACTGATCGATGCAAAATGCAATCGTATCACGGCTAATTTGCAGCGAAACGTAACTTTCCTTCGTCCGAGGTATTATCGACGTTGGCTGCCTGCCGCGCAGTGTTTCGCATCTCGCCGAACGAAACTTTGCAGCAACGTAAACGTAAAGTAAATAAACAACGTCGCGCAACGATCGATCGTCTCGCATGTTTGCGAAATGATTCCACATATTGTTTCGGCTAGTTTTTTTCTGCTCGACTGCGTTACTCTTCGGCACGGATGCCAGTCAAATATTTATGTTTCGGTGACGGACGCGAAATAAATCTGATCGTTGCGAGACTGAAGATCTCGTCACTCGGAGCGGCTAAAGACGCGATTATTTAATAATAACAGCCCGTCACAGCCCCGAATCGAACGATACGTTCGGTGTATCGTATCGCAGCTCTATGCCGTATTTTGCATCGCTGTAATAATCACAGTAATTGGTGCTCTTCATCTCTCGTTAATTTAATAATGTTTGATGCGCATCAGCGCAACTAGAACGCTGCATATCACAATTTTAGCAGCTTTTGCAACCAGTGCTCGTCCAAAATGTCGTCAATTCCCGGCCACTGTATACGTCGTTCGTATTCATCCTGGGCGGAATTTGTCGCGATCGGCTCGACCACGCCGTACTGAAATATACAGAAAAGTTGCTAACGCGATGAATCTCCCCACGGAGGTGCAGTAATCTCTCGAACGAAACGGCGCCACACTTACGGTTTTACGTATACGATTGTAGTCCTCGTCGTAAATTCTCGGCCCGTTCTTACGATAATCCGGTATCCGCTCGGTGCCGTGTAAAATCAGCGTAAATGCCCCGATCGTGCCGTTGTTCTGCACCGGGCCGGTCTGAAAGCAAATACACACGCGGCCAAATACGCGCGCGTGACAGCAGTAAATGACTGATGCATAGGTCATGATTACTAATACGCGGGGAGATCATTTAAGCCGATCAATATCCCATCAGTCAGTCGCGTAAAACATTTCGGAAATCCTCGCGTGCGCGCAATTATTAATCTGCCGGAATCGAGGAGCGCTCGTACGACGAGCCTCTTCCGCGCTGAGCAGATCTCAACGTTCGCACCATTTTTATTAACATGTAAAGCGTCTCGCAAGTATGTAGATTTATTCGTACAAATATGTCGTGTCGGATCTTTGAAATTCATCAGGAGCGCGATTCAAGATGTTCGATTGAAAAATCGCGCAAACTCAAGCGCTGTCCCGCACAAACGAGCTTCCGAGTGCGCGTCTCGAATGCTAATTCGTTATAAGAAACACGGAAACGATGGCACGTTACGATGGCTCAAAGGTTCGCTCAAAGCACGATTGAGACATTGAAGCACAAAAGAACCGATCGCCGCGGTAGCCGGCAGGAGTCTGAGAGGATGTTTTTAAAGTCTCACTTGATCAAATATGTCCAGGGTCCAGGTTCCACGAGGATCTTCGCCCCACGTCGCCACGGACATGAATTTCCACTTCGCAAAACCAGCGTCGGAATTATCCAGCATCCTTGGGCTTAAGATTTGGACTAAGGTCCCTGGAAGACAAAATATGTCGCCCTCGCTAGCAGAAATTCAGCTCTCGCGTGCGAATGCAATTCTCGGGATATTGTGACACGTATTATGTTTCGCGGCGCGTGTTCTTTCATCAGCTTCTTGTCTCCTCATTGCGGTTACATTGTATTGTCACGTTAGGGGCGAGAAGTCGCGCGAAGATTCTCTTGCATCATACTCGGAGACAAATTAATTTTCTCTCTGCTGGAAATACATCGGAAATCCGCGTTCTGATTCGCGGATTAACTAAATCAACGAGTTAGATAAATTTCGACCCGCTTTCGCGGAACTCGATTTTGCTGAATAAATATACAAATATAGGTCGATTTATATGGCCTGTTTACTAATGCAAGCTAGGAGAGTGTATGCTATCCTGTATCATAACATTACAGATATATGTGTATATAGAATATGAAAATACTAAATATATAAAATGGGTCGATGCGAGTCAAAAGCGCGTCCGCGGCAGGATAATAATATTTAGCTTTAGTGTACGAGATACGCTCCAATATTTTTCACAATGATCGTAAATCGCTCCCTTTCCCATCGTCGAAGCGACCCTTGAGCATACTTATTGAACCGGACGGTCGATTTGGCAATGGGGAAAGGGGGCGACTTTCATACAAGACCGAAAAATATGTTTGAAGGTGTCGTGTATACTCGCCAAACATTATTATCCTCCCCATTATTACGGTTCCAATTACGTACTTGCGCCTCTGGCTTGCGCCGGTCCATCCTGCGTATTTCATGCGACCCGACTCGATGTTGTTACAAAAATGCTCGATGTAAAAATAACCTGGACGTTTGCCGTAAGAGAGGAATTCGCGCGAATTTTCGCTTCTGGTGCGTCTACGACGAGGGATCAGTGTGCATATTTTATAATATTTTAACGATAATAATATTGTCGTTGCGCGCCGCTGCGCAGATACAACGTATAATAGCTGCCCGGCGACGCGTAACGATAACGACTTGTCGTTAAAAATTATAATCTACGCGTAGGGGGGGGGGAAGGGAGGGACTTAAAGGGAACATTATAATCTCGCGAGTTACACGCGTCGACTTACAGCTGTTTTATGCGAGGAGTGTGCACATGCGCATATTTAGGTAACGCAATCCGCGTCGCGAGAATTACTCAGTTGCGTGCGGCCGTTATTGATTCTTTTCGCAAGCGTGCGTAGCGAATATGCGTTTTGAATAATATATTATGGCACATTCGACCTAGTTGGAAATTTTGCAAAATATTTAACGATTTTAAAACTTAAACACCCTTATCCGTTCTATTTCTTTTTTTAATGTATAGTTGAAATTCTCGCGTTTCCTCTGTTGATTTCAGAAACTGAAAAAAAATTGATTTGCATGAGCAAAGAAGAGTAAGCAACGAAGCGTGTAAAATAGCAATACGATCGAAAAATCGCTCTTTACCCGAGTCAGCCCCGAAAACACTGTTGTTGAAAACAGTATCACATCCGAAATCATTTTTCCGAAACTCGTTTCTCTCTGCGTGCTGTTTCAAAGATATCCCTGAAAATCGCGCGATATACGATGTCGATGTTCTTTTTCAACGCAAAACGCTGGTACGCTGAAATATTCCCGGTGAAATCTCGCTCGGCGAGCGAAAACAAGAAGGGATAAATCTCGAAGCTCCGGTATTGTTTCATCAGATGCACTCGGACACCTCCGCCGACTCGTTCTTCCCTTCTCGCGTTCCAATACATTTCGGATTTCTTCCGATATCCCGACGCGAGTAACGTCGTCTGTCAATAATAACGTCAATCGACGAACGTGCGTGGAATTAATTATAACGCGATGCGTCGCGGCCACAGCGACGATTGCAAATCCATTCGTCCGCGTTCGCAGTCTGATTCAACGTTTCATTCTGCGCGAAATTGTAGTCTCTTCAGTCCGACGGTATTGCACATCTAAAAAAAATATTTTTAATTGCCGCAGCATGCAGCAACGATAATAACGCGTGCACGCAATGCTCTCTCTCTCTCTCTCTCTCTCTCTCTCTCTCTCCTTCTTTTTTTTCGCTCTGATTGAACAAACGAATTACAGCCGACAAATTCTATTCGCGTCGAATTCACTCGGATAAACAAGCCGCTTCGAAGTAGCGCCAAATCGAATTCCCATTTGCAAATTCAAGCGAGCACGCGAATTGGCGCAGTTAAGCGCGTTTGCATTTAGTCCCGGACAATTTCCGCGGGACTCGAGAGCGACGATATAATTATGGAACATTTTCCCCGCATGGTATTTTCAGAGGTCGTCCGAAAGTTGGCCCGCGACTCGGGAGCGCATAAAATGCCTCGTTCTATCCCCACAAGGGCGTCTTTGCGGTTATTCCCCCGTCTTTCTGGCCTTTTCACTTCTGTAAGCTTAGCGCAAACGAAGATCGGGCGGCGGTGCGTTTCCAAAGGCGCGTTTAAATGTTGCGCAACCGCTCGAGCGCAGCCGCTCGAGAGGATCGCGCGCGACTTATTTGCGCGCTCCGAATTTTCGTCAATAGAGCGTCTTTCGCTCTTGCGAGTTTTATTTACGCATCTCGCCGCGTCGCGAGAGATCAGCCCCGCGTGCCGAGCTCCGCCTCCAGCGCGCTCTCTCCTCGCACACACGACGACTTAATATTTATCAAGCGACGCGCGTAACGAGGAACTTTCGGCGGATGATAAATGGGCCGAAAAGGAGCGGAAAATGTATACCTGAGGGCGCGGCCAGATGCATCTGCAGCGCCCCGCGACGAGAGTACTCGAGATTCACCTCGATCTCCACGTGCTCCAGGGAGATTATCTCGCTTCCTGGTGTCCGACAAACGCTGCCGGCGTCGAACTGGAGTTTCTTCGAATTTCCATAAGCCAGTCCGATATCGGCCCTACAATGCAAGAGAGGGAGAGGGAGAGAGAGAGAGAGAGAGAGAGAGAGAGAGACAGAGAGAGAGAGAGAGAGGATGAGCGCTCGGTGTGTATCGATGTGTTTACGCGTGCGCGCGGTAAGCCGATTTGAAAATACGCATTTCCTCGAACATCGAAGAGCTGTCATGCAGCCTCGCAATATCGGTAAATCGTGCCAAGCCGAGCGCTCTGATGTGTATTCCGCGACTGAAATTTACGGGAAATCATTCCCCACGTTATGAATGCAAACCTCCCCAGCTTTATCCGGATGAAGAAGACGCGTGAGTGATGTAATAGAAACTTACGAGAAGAATGTAACGATAATGAAAATTTATCAATAAAATATAACAAAATTTACTGCGCGCTCTTTGTCCTCTCCTCGTATTTAGAAGCATTTATATATCTTTTGAAATGCGACGCGACGTCGCGTTTCAAAAATGGTATGTAAATTGCGAGCGCGCGATCGAATCTTAAGACTTTAATGCAATTACGGGCGCGGGTTAATTACGATGACGCGCGCGCGCGCGCGAGAGAGAAGACGAATTAATAAAGCCGCTTTTATGGGTATTTTATTACTTGTAGAAGGATTATCGTAATCGCACCTGGACGGCTCTCAGCGCGAAGCGTAACATCGCGAATATGGAATCACAAAGTATTCGAATTATACAGACTGGGGAAGTAACTCGTAATGAGATCAGCGCGCGTTTCCGGCGATGCACCGGAAATCATGTTTATCTCAGTCGGTCACGTGCGCTCTGAGACAGAGAGGGAGAGAGGAGGAGGCCGATCCTTGGATTATCAGGAATTCTATCCGTTTCCCGGAACGTCGGATAAGTTATCCCGCCAGGAACGACTATTTCGGAAAGTCTCTTCGACAAAGCTCCATTTTCTCGCCTGCGCGTCGCGTGTCGTAACGAATGAATCGATGACTTTTACAGCCGTGTTGAATTCAACGATGCGTCCTTTATCTCGCGCTTCTTTCTCCTAGATTCCGGAAATACTCCTTCTCCCTGCCTGCTTTCATCCTCGAAAAAGGAGGTCAGGTCGTCGTGTTCGATTGGTACGACGTCCGGATTGTGGAAACAGGGTTAAAAGCAAAAGTCGCCGGTCTTCTCGCGAGCGCGCGGGGCGCGCCTGGTTTACAATATTTTATATAGTTTTCAATTTAGGTGTTAAACACTCGATCGTTCCGACGAATTTCTTCGAGTGACGAGTATTCGCTTCGGCGGTGAAAGCGTATGCTAAATTTTATCCGGAGGAAAGAGAATCGGTGGAATGAACGCGTGACGATGAAGGGACCGAATGAGTTTTGGCTGCGTGAAACCGAACGAATTTCTCGTTCTTTCGGCTAAATTTTGCTCATAATAATCAGATATTTTGTTTGCGCTCAATCGAAGCGCAGGTTTCGTTTGTTCATCGCCACGTTAACTCGAGCAGTTTTTTTTTTTTTCCCCTCCACGTACGTTCCGCGCACGGTGTCTGCTCGTTACAAAGTTTGCGCAGCGCACAATTAAACCGGCTCTTTGAATCCGATAGGCCAATTTACTCACGTATATACGTTATCCACTTTGCAAACAGTCTTCCCCGGCACCGTCGTCCAGTTGCTGCTCGCCGCTACCAACGCGTACGCGTTCATAAGCCCGAAGCCGAAACGCGAGTTGAACCAGAATCCAGCCGCGTTCTTAAACCATCCCGGGTTTTCCCTAGAAGTTTATGCAATTATTAAAGTTCACCTCGTGGAAAGAACTTACCGCGAGTAAGTGCTTAAAGCGGCGAGGCTGGGAGAGTGTCAAGACGAGAGAAATACTGCCCCTCCTCGCCTCTCTTTCTTCAGTTTCTTCCCTTTATTGAAACTTTTGTCACGATGAAAGTATAATGACGTCATATGCATTGCATCATATGTATTTACATCATCGCGCGGAATTGCGAAAACGGCGGCCGTCGTAGACTTCCCGCCGACGATATTACCGCGTCGACGATCAAAATCGATTATCCGTCGAACGGGAATTAATCGTGTTCCCAGGCATTAATTTTGAGGTGTCTCGCGTCCGGGAGCGGTATATTTGTGCGGATAATATACGATTCATTCGCAATTAACGCCCGCGTATCATCGCGAATGCAATATTCCCCGCGAAAGTGATAGCGATTGCCTTTATGATTCACGAGAGGAAATAGGAAGCAATTAGCACCGGTCGTGAATTACAAACGACGACGGACAAATGTGTGCAGGCTCGTCCGTACCTGTGCGCTGGATTTTTTCTTGTCGCGAAACGGTCTGGACGTGTTGGAGCAAGATGTACCTCATCGAGCCATCACAATCGAGAGCCGCTACTAGCAGGCTCGTGTAGTTATTAATTGGTTACAATAGTGACAGCGCACGAGACAACTGACGTCACGATTGCAATGGAGAATTCATGAAGAAAAATGTGAATAGTTTCATTCTTATATTTTTATCGTTCAGGTGTATAAGAAGAGGCCAATATGACTCCTGTCAGTGCCGACTCTCGATCTTAACAGTTTGATCTTTATTTCATCACGCGTAAACATTGCGATCGCGCGTGATCGTTAACCCTTAAATTCGGATTAGCGAAAATTCACCCGATGATATTTTTTAACCGTTGCCACTAGACAGCAGCACGTCACACAGCGGTGTCCTGCACTGGGAAAAATGTATTGTTGCGTGAACCAAAATTTTGTTGTAACAACAAAATAATTTGTTTAAAATATGCCCAACAAAACTGTTTAGTTCCTGTAAACAAATATCTTGTTTGATTACGGTTTGTTCGTATAACGTAATACTTTTGTTATAGCAACCAGAAAGCTTTAACTATACAAATTTTGTTAAAAATACTATAATTTTTTCTTAATATATAAAGTCTAAATTTTAGTGCACAGAAAGACAAAATAGTATCCATTGGGCATTATTTTAGTTTATGTAAAATAATATTTCGTTATTATGTAATTTTTATGGATAAAATAACTAAGATGCTTAATTTTTATATATGAAGCCTAAAGAACAAAATCATTTGGTCCAGAGAACAAAGCAGGGAAATATATTTAGTTGAGACAACTAGATATTTTGTTACATACAACAAGATATTTGGTTGCTATTAAAAAATGCCTCAACTAAACAGTTTTGTTAGAGATACTAAATCTTTTTTCCTAGTGTACTAGGATCCATAAATGTTCATAAATATTTATACTTTATATGTACACTGAAAAAGAGTAATAAAAAATTTACCCGTCCCAGTAATAGGAGGAAGAACAAAAACGTGTCCTAGTGCTCGAGGACTAAAAGGTAATTTTGCCGTCGCGACTCGCGCGTACGACGCCGTGAACATTATGAAGGATAAACGACCGCGCGGTGTCGCTTAAGACATCGTGAGGAATTGCCGTAATTTGGCAAGAATATTCCGAATTCGGACGCGATGCCGTCGAGCGAAGGTAGGTCAGCCAGTGCCGAGCACTCATCGGTATTCTTTCTCGTCGCGAGATGGGAGCCCCTCGCGATTTAACGCGTAAATCACGGGGGGTGCCGATCGCATCGGACGATTACGGGAGCCTCACGAAAGTCGAAGGAACTCGTTGCCCGCGGCTTCCACCTGAATTACGGTTCCACTTTGAAAACCATGTAGTGACCTACATTCCCGCCGGGGCGTGAATGAGAACGACGCGGCGTTTCAAACTAACGCGCCCGCGGATGCACGCGGCCTGAATTATTACTCGCGGGATGCGCACCTGAGAGGACTATACTCCGATGACCAGGTCACCAGATGCTGGATGTCCCTCCACGTCAGGTCGTCGCTGTAAAAATAAAGGAGAGTCGTTAGTTTCGGCCCTCCATCGGAATATTGATAGTTCAATATGCCGTGAAAATAACGTCGTTATTTTGAGGCCGCGGCTTAATCGGGGGGTAAATTGCCGCTCGCTCGCTGTATATCGTGACCCGTATGCGGACCCGTGTATCGAACATTTTATATCGAACGATCGCGCGCGCATAAAATCCTGCCTAAAACGCGATCGCGACGCGGGCGAGATGTATCTCGTGCGTCTTCAGCTTTGCCGTTTCTCTCGCTCTGCGCTCCGCTCTGTGTTTTCTTACGCTCTTTCGTGTTTGCTCCGTTAGGCTTCCTTCATATTGCAGATTAAAGTGAGAGATTCTCGCTCTCTCGCTTCCTTTTCTTCTTCCTCACAAGGGCCGAACTTGAGCAACAGAGAGGGAGAGAGAGAGAGAGAGAGAGAGAGAGAGAGAGAGAGAGAGAGAGAGAGAGCTGTGGACGTTGATAGAGGGTGAAAAAGACTACGTGACGTAGATAGAGAGGAAGTTTCGGACGGACGTTTTCATCAACGACATGACTGAAAATATGGGCAGGTGGGCTCCGCGGCGGTAATCGAATTAGCGCGCGTTTCCGGCTTCGAAAGAAAAGTTTCAATGGCGAGATCGCCGGGAGTGCTCGTACTTTACTTGCAGCGCGAGAGCCAGTATCCCAGCGGCTAATGGCGCAGAAGCTGAAGTACCCGTATGCCTGGTCGTACAAGTGTTTTTTAGGTCCGTTGTTGCCTGAAAAGCGGAAATGGAAGCTATTAAATTATTCCGCGCTCTGTAAGCTGGATTTCGTTCCTCTTACGAACTCCCTCACTCTCTCTCTCTCTCTCTCTCTCTCTCTCATCGCTCGATTCCACAGAGGATATAAAAAGACGGCGGTGATCGCGAGTGTCGCGTCGCGAATTAAGGATCAGATCTGGGCAATATCGCTTCCGTCGTTAAAACTTTTCAATTTTGTAACGCGAGGCAACAATATGAAAGTAAATAAAAATCGTTTTGCACGCACACGATGCAATTAGATTTACGTGCAACGGACGTTTGATAAACGCGTTACAGTTTCAGTTGCTAAACTGAAAAAGTCAATAACAGATTCCGTACGAGATGTCGAATCTGAAACGAAATTTACGAAACGAAGCAAGAAATGAAATACATGGAATGACCAAGAACTCTGACCAATTTATACGTTTCGGTTCGGCTGACGACCATTTTTTATTTCATTTGCGAACTTCGTGACGATCTCGACATTTTGGATCATTTGATTGACTTTTCATCGCGTATCTGTAATCTCGATCATTTGTTTCGTCATTTCAGTTGAAGTTAAGTTTCCGTCTACGCGAACACCACATTCGTAATTTCTTTTCGCGTCTACTAGACCCGATTACATCACGCCAAGTCTCATGCTAAGAAAATGGGACTCTTACTATCATCTGGTCGTGATAGGCGCCACTACTGTACGTCGTAGCGAGGGTGGCAGGACACCTTTCCCCGTACCAAGGAAATCTTCCAGTTTGGCTAGCCGATCCAACAGCCACGGTGTATACACTCCCGACGTATCCGTCGCATGCACAGTCGTCCGATTTAGAGCCGCCGTTTCCAGAAGCCCATACGTAAATGTTACCTTTACCGTTACGACCCTGTCGAGTATTCAGGTATTACGCGAGATTATCGCAAACGACGCCGGCCGGAATGAAATGAAATCATTAATTCAGTGACTTTTGAATCGCTCCGTTCCGCACCGGCAAGCGTTAGCGGAACGTGTAAACAATTCACAAGAACTAGCTTTGGAATACGAAGCTTTGCTCGAGGCTCTTGCTTTCTTATTTATTCGAAAGGTATAAATTGCGTCGTACACGTGAACGAGAAAAGAATCGTGGGGCGACAACTCGTGTTTCCACTGTATCGACCACTGCTGACGCTGAGGTCAGACCTGAAATCCATTTCGGCGAATTAAGGAACAAGGGAAGGAGAGAAAACGGAGAGAGAGAGAGAGAGAGAGAGAGAGAGAGAGAGAGAGAGAGAGAGGAATATAAGACGCGAAGAGATGCGAATTAAGCTCGCTTAAAAATTTCTGCAGCACACCGTGGAAGTGGAAGTGGACTATCGTCTACTCGCGAGATAGTGCCGTTGTACAAAAGGTACAGGTATTAGTATGCAAGTAGATCGAGCCTCTCCCTCAAGCCAGCGCCGCGCGCCGGACTCTCCTCGTTCATATTTAATCTCCAGGAGAAAGAAGAAAAGAGAACAATTTTATGAACGTCTTGCGAGCATCTCTTTCAAGCCAGGGCCAGCTTTCACGTCGATGATACTAAAGCCGACACCTCCGCAGAGAGAATGAGCGCGTTGGCGTAACAAAGTTCGCGATTCAAGTTACGACTGGACTAGCCCCGGACTAGCACGGTCGAGTTTCATACTGCAGTCACGAGATTAGATCACGTTGCTCGACGTGTCCCGCTTGACGTGTCTTTTTAATCACCCTGAATTTTCGTCGAGGCTCCCGGGCGCGAATTCGGCCGGGTATTTATTTATTTATTATTTCTTAGCGCGGAAACAAGCGCGGTTGTCGCGTACTGCAATTTATATCTTGCTGGTCTGTCCGAATATTCTCGTTTTTATCACTACACGTTTGTAATTTAAAAATAATTACGATAAGATGCGACGGAGATATCGCACCGGTACAGTGTGAATTCGGCGACGCGAAAGTGCGGGTGAGGATTTTCCGATGTCCGGAAGAATGATCGACAAGCAGTGAATCACTGCGGGAGACGGAGCTGGCGGTTTAACTTGGTCGGTTAAAAGCTTTTTTAGACATTAAATGATCAGGAAATCCGCTCCGCTCTCTCTCCGATGTAAAAGTCAACTCACTTGACGTAATCCTATTATGAGGATCCACGGATACAAAAGTCGCGCCAGCCCTCTTTCTTCTCGCCGTAAGAAGAATATAGAGGAGAGAGGGGGGGAGAGAGAGAGAGAGAGAGAGAGAGAGAGAGAGAGAGAGAGAGAGAGAGAGAGAGAGAGAGAGAGGAGAAAGAGAAGAGCGAGGGAGAACGAGAGGCAGGAAACGTCGGGTAAAATTTTTTTCAATTAGGATCTCACTCAAACATTATAAGCTGCGCGTCGGAGTGTTGAGAGGGAAGGGAAGCGGGGCAAATTATTCGTACTTACCGAGCATTTTGGCCGCGCGAAGAAAGAAATTTATTCTCTAAAATATAAGCGGGTAATTTGACAGCGGACTGACCTCCCTTACACCACGCTCGAGCGCCTCAACGGCGAGTCTACCGGGTGCCTCCAAACTCTTCCCATCGTCCGCCGGTCCCCAGGAAGCCGTGTAAATGTCGACGAGTTCCTGCTCGTAGCCCAGAGCCTCGCCTTCCACGCGATCGTTCACCAAGCCGTCAAGCAGCTTGATGCCCCCGATGGACGCCTCGAAGGCGATACCAACCCCGCACTTCCGGTTGTTGGCCTCCATTGCTATTTCGCCGGCACACCTGGTACCGTGACCGTTCATCCCTGGGGTGTCGTTGAATTCGTAATGATCGTGAAATAGTAATGTTCAATCGGGTCGCCGAAGTTCGCCGTGCGCGACGAGAGAGGAAGCGAATGTCCACACAGGAGCTTTCGAGATTTCGCTCGACGACGCGCTCCGCGCGTATTATTTGACTTTTAAATTGCGAGTACGACGCGCGAGTAATTTCACCCTGCGCGCACGCAGTTATGCAAGGGAAAAGCTCCGAATGGAAGCGCGTCTTGCGAAGAAAAAGATCAGAAGATTATGAGAAATTATATCTACGCATCTCGTGCCTTTCAGATTTACGGAGATTCTGAGAGAGATTCAGAGGTGACTCCGCTTGTTGAGGAAATTGCACAAGTCGTCCCGGTAATTAAATCCACAGATTTTCATTTACTTACACGTGCACATAGCAGTGAAAACGTAGGCGTTTGTATTGCGTATAATTATTTTCACCGTGCTTACGTACATCCAATCGCGATGATTAGAATTTTGAATCTGCGAAAGAGTTAAATTCGGGAGTCGAGCGGAGGGGGGGAGGGGTGGTCACGTTCGATCCGGTTTCGCACGAATCACATCAATATCGTCACGTTAACACTTTTATCATCGGATGAATTATTAATCAGACCTTATTGACCTCGCGGGCGCTCCTCGTCGTTCCTGCATTATTCGAAAGACTCGAGCTGCGAATATCGATTTTATATTTTAACGTTTATACACGAGGAAAATATCCGACATATCGGCCAAACAAGCGTAAGCTGTTGGATTACGAAATAACAAGCGGCGTTTGATTGGAGACGTTTTATTCGAGAGTATTTAGTTCGCGACAGAGCAGGCTGGCAAGTCCTGCACATTTAAGAATAATAGGTTTCAACAATAGAGAGCGCAAGATCGCCCGTCCCCTGCGCGTTCACTGTCACTATCACTATCGTCGGGAAATCTGGACGATGGGAAAGTTTTCAAGCGAGCGAGTTTTAAACTAATTTCACGACCGACTCACCGTCGGTGAGTTATGGTTTAAATGCATTACCGGATGCGCCGAGCGCGTTTTACTCCTCGGCAATTTATCGCGATTTACTCGGGGATTTGACACGTTTGCTTCACGCAGTTCTGCAATCGGGGCCGATATATCGCGAAAGTTGCTACGCGGGCTCGCACGATGACGTATAATTGCTATTGTATCTATATCATCTATATCATTTGTATTTTTTATTCGTGTTAACATTTTGAATATATTCTGCTAAGCAATGCACGGAATTTGTAAGTATAGAACGTATTTCTGAATTTTATTCCAGTATCTGTAATCGTATGTTTATTACATATTACGAGAGAAAAAATATTTAAGCTTTAAAGGCTACCATGGATGATGAACTTTCGCTTCATGCGAATTTTTGATCGTATTAAAAAACGTAACTACATTGACAATACTAATTTTATAGGTTTTTTTTTTATAATATTTATTCGTACTATCAGTAGTGGCAACATTACGATAAAATAAATCAATTTTCGCTATAAACTTTGCTATGAACAAGAAAAGTTAGCTTAGGGTGATATTTGATGGTAGCTTTTGAGGGTTAACGTTAAGGGAAACTTACCCGATACGTCGTATCTTGGAATAGGATCGGTGTCACCCTCGTTTATGTCGTAACTAATGGCTGCGTCCTAAGTTTCAACAATAATACAGACTGATAATAAAGAAACATACATAGTGATATATTTTTTCATTTTATATGCGATTAGAATAAAATTTTTTGCAAAATCACGATAAATGTGTGGTGGTAGCGATTTACGTTTGTTATATAAATAAAATATTCTTGCTTCGATATAATGTGTAATATGATAACAATATTTTTGAGTAACATGTTTCCGTCATCTGTCGGACGAAGGACAAGTTCAAAGAACACGTTACGTACGTAATTGTTTCGCAGATCATCGTGGCTGTACTCTAAACCGTCGTCAAGAACAGCAATTTTTACCCCACGACCAGTTATCCCTAGTCGATACAGAGGCAGGACGTTTAAGTCGAGCTTCGGCAAAGCTTTATTCGTCCTCGTGTCTTGCTACGGCAGTTGGTAAAGAGAATTCATCAATATCGCAAAAATTAATAATCCATTGCATCGAATTTGTGTAAAATTTTAGTAAAATTCATGTGCTTAATTGTCGAAGGTATTACATCGACAGATTCATCACATTTCTCTAATGAATTTATAAAAACTATGCAAATTAATTTATAAAATATACACACAAAATTACTAATTAAGTGATTTGATAGAATATTTGTAAAATATTTGTATTTGCAATTATTTCTCCGTTAGCTTTCCCAGAGTTATCTCTTCCGAGCTTACACGTTTGAAGAATGGGAATCTACGAAAGAGGGAGCCACCTTGTGATTTGCGTTGAGATGCTGGCAGCTTATAATTTGATGTCGATGATACACACAATTTATATACATGGCATTGCCTTTCACGTAAATATGTGTAATTAAAGATTCAAAATCTGGCAAATTTATCTTCATTTTCAAAATCGCTACTTGTATCACGATGTATATTAAATGTGTGTATATAATTTGTAACTTAATAACGTAGAATTCATATCATTTTCTGTACAACTATTATGGTGAAATATGCAAAGCCATTTATTACCAGGTACCATTCTTGATCCCAAAGCTCGTCGTTAAACATCCTTGTCCTATGGACAGCACCGTAATTTTCTTCCTCGCTGTTAACGGCATTTAAAGCAGCTCCGTATGCGTTTAATTGCAGACGCTTCTCTCTCGTTAAGGGTTTTTCAGAGTCCAAGTCGGCTAACGAGATGTAATCGCGTTTAAGTCGTTTCACGGTTTTCTGTTGATCCGCCCAGACGATCTTTCCTCGACAAGCGCGAATTGCGTTGAAAAAGTTGCACCTTTCTTATACGCACTTTTGCGATACACGCACACAATTACAATCGCTGTTCGAAATATATGCGTCTCGGCATTCTTTATTCAAGTGCTGGCGTATAATTATATTATACTGTCTTGAGGAAGCGACTAACGCTATCGTATAATACCGAACAGTTGGAACGTGCCACTTAACGTGACAAACATGCAAAGGGATTACCTTGGAATTTGCATCAAGGGCCTTCGTCAAACGAAGATTTCCTCTCTTCTGTTCACTCGGGCTAGAGTCTTTGAGCCATATATATGTGTCCTTGAATCCGAGAACCTGAATGAGCAGATCCATTACATGCAAATTTACGGCTGCTGGAGTAGGTGCCAATAATATGCGCCGAATGTTTAATCAACTCGCCACCGAATAGAGTCTTTATTTAAATCTTCGCTTAAATAAAAATATATTCTCTCGCGAAGCGCGGCGCCTTCTGTGCGTTCTACCAACAGCGCGAGCGCTTCATCTTCCGCTTTTCAGTATTCATCGCGTCATGTCGTGACTATATGTCATATCTAGTCCGCCTACTTTGGACGGAACTATTTATTTTAAGAAAAAAAAAAAAATTACGGTTACACACATACAGATATGAAATATGACCAAGTTAATTTTTATGTAACGCAATACGTATAAAGTCGAGGCAGGACGGCTTATGACGGGACGGGAGTCGTCTGCTGAAACATTCAGTACGTTACATTCTCGTTTTATGCGCGACCAATGTTAACCACCCTTCGCCGATGCCCGAGGTAAGGGTGAAACTAGACGTCCCGACGTTCGCGCCCTTCGAACGGCCGAAAGGGACGCTGCGATCAGGACAGCATACGAAAGCAGTTGGTAGGTCGAGCGACTCTTTTGGAGGGAACTATCGAAAGTCTAAATGGGGTATCGTAACGTTATTATTATCCGGTGTCACGTGGCCGGCCGGCCTAGCTTCGTTTTTGTACGGCATCCGTATGTCATGTCCCGCGTATGGCGTAGGGAATACGACGGAGACGGAACGAGAGGGAGGACATGGGAGGGGGGACCACCTGGCAGGGCACTGTCTGTCGTCCGAGGGGAAAGACTATGATATTTCCGTAACACATCGGGCACGTGCCGCGCCTATTTCAAGATACCTCCTGACTTTCTGACCCTCCTCTCCTGGTAATCGCCGATACGCGGCATCGTTTATCCGCGATGAATTTATTGACGTCTGTATTAAGCAATAAATAGACAAGACTTTTACACCGCGAGTCGTTTAATGCGGCATTACCTTCCGTAATATTATTATTATATATATTATTTACATCCCGTTATGTTCACCTGTACTCACCACGCGTGTCTATTTCACACTGAGAGAAAAAATATTTTGGAGAGGAGAGAGAGAGAGAGAGAGAGAGAGAGAGAGAGAGAGAGAGAGAGAGAAGGGTGATTTTTTATTTTGCCAGAATTACAATCCCTTTTCACGCCAGTTATACGTTTTGTTGCTTTGATAAAAAGTCACGGTGGTCGCGATATGAGGTTATTACCTAACATTGCCAGCAGCAGTGCTCGCAACATACGACAAAAGATGCTCGTCCCGAACGTAATTGTAGTAAAATAACGTACGAACAAAATAAAATAACTATTTTATGTCATGTATTTATGTGTGAAAAAAAATATGTGCCGAACGCTTCTCCTCGCCGTTTATTATAATATTACGTACACGACAGAAATAACGGTTCCCTTCTCGCTGGTATTGCGCTTTCTCTCGCGGATATAGACGTGACATTAAATGCAATCGAATATCGCGGTAAGATCCGAGGAAATTCAGGGCGCTGGAGTTATGAAACAATAATCCTTTCGTCTGCGACCCTCTTAATCCCGCGCAAGCGTGCGCAAAAATCCTCTAATCCACTAGCCATCGTACCCCGTTGTGCATCCAGTCGGAGGAAATAAATTTGATCGGCAGAATGCTTCGCCGAACTCGCTGATAAACTATTGAATATTCGGCGGAGATACACTTTTCAGTACGGCCGCGCATAAATGTTGCAGGCTCGCCTATCACCGATCACGTACGCTACACATGCTATGTTGAGCATTTGGGATTTTATATCACGATTTATGGATCAATAGCGAATCCTCCTATTTCCTGCGCACACAAACTAGATCTGTAAACGCGGGTGAATTTAATGTTACGCTCGCGAGCTTACACGCGAGACACGCGCAGCTCGCTGCAACGAGAGAGGTCTCGTCGACATTATTCTTTCCTCAGTATCGCGACACCGAGAACAATTCGTTCGTCTTTGTTTTAATGTTGCCCGTGCAATATTAATCCGCGGATTAGCCGAAGCTCGCGCGAGTTGCGCGAGCTTCGCGAACTTCTCACGCTGAATTTTTCACCCTCAAGGCTGCTAATAATGAAATTTCGTACTTCTCTCACAGAGTTCTCTCACGAGTACACGTGTCGTCGGCCGGCCGGCCCGACGAGTTCATTCGGGAAATCCAGCGGTGCGATGCAATTTCCGCAAACTTCACCGCTGAAAAACCTTGCTGGAGATTCCCGATCGCGAGCACGAGGCAACGTTTTCGATCGTTCCTCCGCCGTCGGACCGACGACCGCTTCAAGGTCACCGTTTTTAACGGGGGAGAATAGCGCCGGGGAGATAGAGCACGTTCTTCAGTGTTAGGGGCACTTCTCTTAAATTCCACATGGGAACACTTCAAACTCCAATTCGTCGACTACGTGATAATGGTTCTCTCCCTTCGGCCCCGTCGTAATCGGCAAGCACGCTACGGCCCGGTCCAAGCACCCCGAGGTGCACACCGCGCGTTGCACGGCTGTGTACGTGAGAAGCGCGGAGGGAAAATCGGAAACGGTCATTACTTCGCAATCAGCGAGCGACTAGGCGAGTATTACAATTATTACGGTATGCTATCGTGATATATGTCGCAATACCGACGTCGCTATATACCAACTACTCTTCGAGGCTGATTCTCACTGGGAGGGACAGGAGGGTCTCTGAGTCCTCCTCTCGAGAGACATTCTCCGATGCGTTTGCATCGGCGCGATACTTGCAGCTTACGTCGCGGCGCAATCATCATCCCGGCAAGAGAAAAAGAAGAAAAAATTAACGCAAGAGAGATCGCGACGAAGTCCTCTCTCTCTTTCTCTCTCTCTCTCTCTCTCTCTCTCTCTCTCTCTCTCCGGCTATTCGTATTATTATTTCTCGCGTAAACACACGAGAGCAGCGCGAGAGGTGACTCGGCCTTTCTCGCTCGGTGTCCCTCGGAAACAATAATCGGTTTCCAATAGAATATTGTACGGCTCGCGACATTCAGCGCATTTTCCCACCCAATCGTCTCGAGTTTGCTCTGTGAGGAGTGGGGACGCTCCTAATCTAAGCGTCATCGCCGTGCGAAATATGACCGCGCGAGTAGAAGCGAGGGGGACGCGGAAAGAGGTGAGAAATAAGAGCCGGTCATTATTCCGCGATCAGCTGGCGTTCCGTCTTATCGGTATTCAGATTGCGCCTTCCGATCCCGATAGCTGGGGGATGCTCGTGCGTTCCGCGTAGATACAGGAAAATCTGCGCATCTCGGCGGTCCAAGTCGCTTGTAACCCCTCCGGGCGAATGGCGGCGAGGATGTGGAGACGATGGAGAGGAGAGAAATGGAGAGAGGGCGTATCGGGGGGAGGAAGAGAGAGAGAGAGAGAGAGAGAGAGAGAGGCCAAGTATTTTCGCAGTCCATTTGTTTTGATCGGATTTCCAACTGTCTCTCGTAATCCCGCTCCCGTAAGCTCCCGCAGGCGTCGTCAGTTTCCAATGAAAACCCTAACGTTTCTATCCTCTTCTCCCTACCAGCTCTGCTCACCGCGGCAACCCTCGTCGTGTCCCGACCACACCTTCAACCTCACGCCCCTTGGATTTCTATGAGCATACCTCGCATTCCCGGTGTATTCTTTGTGCACGAGGTTGTGCATGTGCGTGCGTGCGTGCGTACTGGCATTAGCGTATTGTCTGCAAACTTTGCAGACTGTCGTCCGTGGATTCCTTCAGCACTGTGACGGAGCTGACTTCTCCTTGACGAAGAATCGATCGTTTGCACGACTAAAAGTCAAAGATGCGAGGGATTGCGAAGCACAGCACGAAATGTCTCGTTTCCTTTCGATGCAATTCTCTCTGTCGTATAATTATAAGACTATATATAAGAGTGCTTTACGCTCACGTACGGGAGTTTTAATTAGGGGCTTAACCGTCAAGATATCTAATATCGAAAATTCAAGTTGAGCAAAAAGATGGCGTGCAATCAAACTTTGCCCAGGGAAAAATCGATTCCGAGTTCGCTCGAGTATTCGCTATCGAGAGTTTAGAGGAAATGCGCAACTCAAAACGTTTCACGGTATTATATCGCTATCGATTTGTCTTAAATAATCAGGAGGAAGCCTATATAACATATGAAATTCATGAAGGGACGTATTCTAGATTACAACGGTCTTCATGTTTTATAGATTACCCGGAATAACCTGTCTCGAGTGCTTTCCACGTTTCTACGTGGAAACAGTTTGTAAAAAATCCAGATTGTACTTCTTAATAAATAAAGTGCCGACGTCTGCGAAAGAGGCCAATCGCAGTTATATCGAGCATGGAATATCCATCCCATCACAGCTTTTTATCCCGCAGGCAATTCCATAGACTAATTTTTTCATGTATTAATATGCCACTAATGTGCCAATAAAAATGCACTAGAGTTCAACATTGAAGTGCTAAAGTAAATGCAAAGTGCAAACTGTCGCGAGACCACCTGAATGCTTACGAACCGATTGAAGTAAAACGTCAAAGACACCTGGAGTCGCAAACAGTTGACTAAGTGAGGTAACTACCAGGTCGGTGCACAAAAGATTGATTGATTCTACTAAATTCACGTAGCGGAAGTTTGAGCGTCAGAAAAAAGGAAAAAAGATAGAGAATCGTCGTTAAATGTCGACGTTGTATCGTCTTATCTGTAAGAATTATTTATTCTTCGGAATTAGGAACAATTTCGTTTTCTGTTTTCTGGATTCAGCGAACGCGTCGTCAAGCCTTTGCACCGGTCTAGCACAGTGAAGCAATGCTGGTTACGTGATACAAGCGTAAAAGCCTACGCACGCGTACACGTACGCGTACAATACTGACTTCGGCAGGTATCGCGTTTGTAGTACACGCTTTGTCTCGTGTAAGTCACACGTGTGAATGCTGATGCATGTGTCGCCGGTATGATTATGTACGCAACATGTACGTGTACCGTTCGTACTGCTTAGACGCACGGCAACACATGAG